TGATTACCAGTCTCATCATGGGGAATACTACATCCAGCTGCCCAGCCACTCAACCAGGCCTAGCCAAGTTGACATACAAACATAACCATCACAAGCACTATACCACCAGAGCTCCAAAAAATCCTGATAATGAATGATAAATCATTTCATGACTGAGGTTATGTATAAGGGAAAAGGCTGGTCATGTTGGGCAACTCAAATTTCATAGTGATTATTTGTTTCCTTTACTAGACTGCAAATTCTTTGAGGGTACAAATCATATACTTTACAGCTTTGAGCAATCTAGACAGTGCACACAGGTACTTGCTGACTGGCAGAATGGATGAAGCAAAGGAAATACCACAGCATAAGGGAAGCATAAGAACTTACCTCTGTCTGCCCTGGCTTCACAGTTGCATGACAAGCAATCATGAGTGAGCTATTAGGAAAGGGCCAGTGCTGGGACGCAGAATACTGCAGTCTTTCCACCTCTAATCCCACCTCTTCTGCAACTTCCCGACGGATGGTTTCTTCCAGACTTTCACCTACAAGCACTCAGATTAATTCAGGACAGCCCTGCAGTGGGAAGGGTGATACAGATAGCCCATTTGCAAAGTAGCACGAAGGCTCCAAAGTTTCAGTGCAATACTTTGGGGAACACCCTAAATCTCCCAACCTCTACAGGTCTGGAGTTAGGTGTTAAACTGCAATGCTTAACCCTACTAGGTTTGTTCTGATGCAAAAGAGAAGTGACAGCAGGAGAGGCTACAGCTGCATTCAGCTTCAGTGAAGTTCTACTGCTACATTTCATATGTAAATTTTACCCCCAAGGAAAAAAGCAAATAACCACTGTGCATAAATATTAATTCTAGTTGTTATTATTATGCATACTGAAGTATTTAGGGAGAAGTGTACTAACAGTTGCAGTCTATACATCAAAAAATAAGATGGATTGAGGAACAGTTGTTGTTGTTAAGTGCCGTTGAGTCGTTTCCGACTCATAGCGACCCCATGCACAGCAGAACAAAACACTGCCCGATCCCGCGCCAGCCCCACA